ACTAATACAGAGAAAGTAAAGTTCATTCACATTGCCAAAACAAACCCAGTACCAATGACAATCAACAACGAACATATACAATACTCCAACGAAGGCAATATACTGGGACTAACAATAACAAGAATAAGCATAAGAAAACACAACACAACACAACACAACGTAAAATGCTTGCCCCATCACAACTCACAAAGCTAAAAGATTCGGCAAAATGGACGCCAACATTCAACTACACCTATTCAAAGCCCTAGTCTGACCCCTCCCTGGAGTACCCGCCAATACCACTCAGTACGATCAGCAAAAACAATTATCATAAACTCAAGGTAATACAAAACAAATCTATTCTTAGAGCATAAAAGCAACTTCCCCCATACGCCACGAAAATACATGAACTTCATGAATTACACAACATCGAACCATTGAATGCACGCGCACACATTCAAGCTCAAAGAGTATGGAACAAACGTGTAGAGTTGGAGGACCCAATCTTCTTCCAGTTAAAAGAAGAAACAACTAGATTACACAGTTGGTGGCCCATGCATGAGCCTCCACGAGATTATAGTAGAACCAGATTCACTATTTACATATTTATGAATAACTAATACTATAATTTAACATAATTTAACACATACTACTCTATTGAAATCAGTTGACAAGTTAATAACATAATTTAAAAATACTTACACCCCCAACCAATCACCTCGACTCAGCTATGAATCCTTACTACTACAGGGTGAGCCAAGTGTTACTGTGCATCTACTGTAGACGATGAGTATATTCAGAGAGCCTCTGTACATTAATAGAAATACATTTCCCTTACTTACTTAAGCTACAGCAAATGTTGGAAATGGCACCCACGTGCATGTAGACACGCATGTACACATATCTTGTTTACAAAGACACGCGACAATTCAGTCGGAAAGATGTTCCTGATGAAATTTGCTATGGCTTCTTTCGGTTCAGGGAAAGTGTGAGGATTGTATTTGTAAACTGTGCCTCTAATTGCTCCCCACAATAATAATCAGAAGTTGTAATATCTGGCGACCTTAGTGGCCAAATGTCCTTTGAAATTATTCTGTCTCTAACACATTGCGCAGTAGCTCCGTCCTGTTGGAAGTAGCCGCGGACAATTTCGTCGTCATAAACGTCCAATGAAGAGATAAAGAATCAATCCACAATAACGTTCCGAGTTGTTTGTGTCACTCGCTAAACAATATACTCATCGTCTACAGTAGGCGCACATTGACCTTTGCTCACCCTCTACTTATACTTTCCGCCCCAGGTACCACTTTGAAGATGAAGAGCTGCTTTCACACAAACAGTTTGGATTCAGGGCACATCACTCCACACAAGATGCACTGAACCCTAATCACAAACTACCTCCACATGAACAAGGGACCATACAAAACAGCATTCATCACCGAAGACGTACAAAAAGTTTTCGACACAGTCTGGCACGACGGACTAAAATACAAAATCTGCACACACTTCAACTTTCAAAAAAAAAAAAAAAAAAAACGCAACAACTCCTATACAACTTTCTAACAGACAAATGAGAATTAAATTCAAACACGAAAACTCAGACTACTTTCTATTGAATACAGGAGTTCCTTTCCCTAACACTAAACATACTTTACACTAATGACCCGCCTGAGCCCATGCAAACCAGACAGTACGCCAACGACGTAACACAATTTATCAGACACGGAACAGCACTAGACTACCTCACAGAAAAAAACACGTAGGGAACTCGAACAGGTCACAAAATGGAAACTCCAATAGCGTATACAAACAAACTGCAAAAAATCACAAATCACCTACTTTGGCAAAAAAAGACGTTAACCTCGCCCCATATACCTAAACCCATACACCAACAGCCCAACACCCATACCAGTAAAACAGACAAACAGAAAACTGGGGGTAACATTCGACCACACCCTCACCATGAAATATCACATCGTCACGAAGACAACAATAACACAAAAGGCACTCACAGGCAGACAAAGATTCAGAAGTACAATAACAAAAACCAGAGCGCACTTTTACAAAACACTTATAGACTCCCTATTAACATACGCACTCCAGTTAACAGCACCAACTAACATCAAGAAACTACATAAATCACTGAGGTTCATATACAACACACACTCATTCATCACAGACGAACACCTACATGAACATAGTAACATTCCACCTCTCAACATATACTGGAAACTATCAGGTGACAAACAGATGGAAAAACTTATAACCATACATCCACAATGGCAGGAATACTTTGACGACATCATACCTACCCCTTCTATACTAAAACACGCAATCAACACAATAACACTCTTATATCTGCACCTGGGTGGCCTGAGAACAATCCACTTACACCATATCAAGCCACTCCGAGTTAAGATATTCTCTCACCACTCCACTCAAACTCTGACGGTGCAATAGCAATATCGTAACCAATGAGGTTTATCCGAGGTTCGATTATTTCTAAGCAAATCAGAGAACTATTCCCCACTTTCTTCTTAAAAATCTTTACGACAATGCCCCCCTATTCCATGCAACGAATACACTGACATACTGTATTAAGATCCTTCACCTGTCACCATACAACTCTACTACAAATCTACTTCTTCCTTTTCCAATGGACAGAGCCTACCGGGGTTCTAGGTTCAAGCTGCGGCAGTGTGGCTCATGATGCTGGTGGTCTATTAGTCCAATCCTAAAACATTCAGGCTTACTGTGTTAAGCCACGACGCCTATTTCTATTCCTACAACTAACTTCCATCCACTTGTCCTTCCACTGAACCTTTTTCACCCCTGTCACTTGAGATTTATGTGTATGCCACTTGATCATTCCGAGACCAGACCTCAGCATCGAACAGACATGAGAGTCATTTGGGTGAAGGTGGTGAGGCTCTATCCTCCATCTTCTAGACCTTCTAAGAAGATAAACCTCCTCGTCCTGAAGAGATTTTTTTTTCTTCAGGTATAGAGGGGGTTACGAAGGATGTCCGCCGGCCGAGTGGTGGCCTTATGGTTGGTTACCTATAGAGACTGGGTCAGGCCATACAACTGAAGGACATAACGAGCATCAATGACGGCCCCGTCAAGGTGGAAGTCAGTTTCGTCGATAACGCCGCGTGGGAAGTTATTTCCCACGACGAGATCCAACACCTAGAAGAATACGAGTTACAAGACTTACTTAAATATGTCGACGTGAAACGGAAAATAAAGAGACCAAACGGAAAATCCACCTCAGCTCTAGTTGGATTCTTCCACAAATTACCCGAGACGGTTACACTGGGATGGGACACCGTCCCAGTGCTCTACTCACCAACACCCACCCGGTAGTACAAATGTTAGCGCTATGGACATTCTGCGAAGAAGTACCGGGCTCGTCCTTTCTAGTTAGGGTCTGTGTAATGCTGTTACGACCAACAAATGACAGAACTCCAGCAATGAATGCAGGGAGGATAAGAGAACTTACAAGAATTCATGGCCAAATCAACACCCACAGTGTTTCAGACTGATTAGGTGACATTTATAGGTAATGTAACAAAATTTCCAAGACGAGATGAGAGAACAATTACAAATAAGCAAAACGCAAAGACAACCGCGTTATAAAAATTCTGGAGAGAAAGGAGGGAGAAACAGACGAACAAACAGTCAGACAGATGCCCTTGGAATGTAACCCCGAACTTTTGTTGTGGTAGCAGCTTGAGTGAGATGCATCTCGACCCTTCGACCTCATATGGGCAATATCTGCAATTCACCCAAGTCTTGAGATTCCTGCGACCCCTGCATATGTATTTATTTTTGGCATTTATCCCATTGCAAAAAAAACTGTTTTTCTACAAGGTGTATTAAAAACAAACAAACGTACTAAATGCGACAGATAGAGCGCGGTAGCAAAGTCACTGGGATAGAAATTGGTGATCCATCTTATTTATTTTTACACAGTATTTTAAATGTACCCTTTTAATTATTATTTTTTTTTAATTGGCGGTGTTTCGACAATTCCAATTTGTGGGCTTCCATCAATGAGGTTGATGGAATCTCTTAATGGTGTACTAAAATGGCCATTGTTAAATTTGGTTTAGGCTAATTGTGCGGACATATTACGTCACAGTCTCTTACATTAGCCGAGAGTTGATTGATTCTCGAAAACCCTAAGCTAGACTAAATTAACCTAACGTTTAGCGAAAGACAATGTGACCAGATTTGGCCGTACGAATCGAATAGCTACGGTGTTTTTTTTTTGTTTTTTTACGGGATTAGCCCACCCGGGCACAGGTCACTGACCCACATCGGGGCCTGGGGAGCAAAAAATGTAATAATAATAATAATAAACAATAGTAATAATAATTCTTAATAAATAAAATGTATAATAAAAAAATAAAAAATGAAATAATAAAATACTAATGATGATGATGATGATGATGATAATAATAACTCTGTAATAATACTAATAATATTAATAATCAAGAACCATAAATACAAAAATAAAAGATAAAAAGTGAGAAACAATGTCTGTATGTTGTGTTGTCAATGGTAAGAGAAACAATTGAGACCCTGCAATTGTGTGTAAATGAGGCAGAAAGTCAAATCAGCAACCTGGGACTTGGTCACAATTTTCGTGATGCCATATGGCAGCAGGGTCTACCATTAGACAGCACATTATGCTTCCAATATCTTCCCCAGGCGGTAGTGTTTGGTAGCTGCCTTCTACACACTACCTACAAATAAGAGTGCCTTAAATTCAACACATACTTCTTTACTATAGTTCAAAATAGCGTATGATGATTTGCTTTATAAACACACAGGAAGTCAATGATAAATTCATGGTGAAAATCCTCAAACTGTATATAAACCACAACAGGGATGGAGGGAGAAGACAGACGATATGAATCATGCCGGAATGAATAGGAAATTTGAGAGCACTAAACTTATTTGTTTAAACTGTATGATAGGTGAGGAATAAAAGGGAACATGTAATGTTAACTCACCACAAAATCCATAATAAAAGGAGAAATAATGGAACCAATCCGAGACATCATGAAACATGTTCCTAAACCTCGGCTCCTGACCTCTGTAGGAAAGAGCTCACTGGAGTAGAAGATAACAGTCTGGAAAGCTGCGGTGATTGTTACTTTGCCCAACATCGCCAAAGTTATCCCCAACCAGTTATAACCTGCAAAGAAGAAAAAAAAAACGTACTGAGATTCATTAAGGAAAAAAAAGAAAGGATAATAGTCTGAAGCGTTGTTATAATTCCTTGTTAAGTAAATTGTAAGAAAAATCTGTGATAACAGAAAATGAAGTTAGGCATATCAGCAACATAAGAAGTCCCATTATAATGGGGAACAAAATTCAACTTTTTGTCAGTTGCATACATTTTGAGACCTGTTTCTGGGTAAATTGAGGTCACTGATTTCAAATATGGCACCGGTTTTTTTCTATCGGGTCTAGTTTTGTTGCGGTGAGTTACCTACCATTTACTACTATACATAGTTAGACTACCATATACTACTGCTAAAAATCTAAACCAGCACACAGAGAGGAATTACCAAACACGTAGAATTAATTTTTAATTACTTTTATTTACCTTGACAAGCATATTTTGGATTCATCAGTTGCTTTTGTGAACTATGCCAGATTTATTCAGGCACAAACTTGCGTTTAATGGACTGTCTTGAATATCGCCTCTCAGTGCAGTCTCGCTGAATGCTCCAGCAATAGTCCGCCATCATGTGAATGTCCCAGCGACCTTGATACCTGTCTTCCATGACTTTGATATCCTGGTGAAAGCGTTCACCTTGCTCATCACTCACGTCCCCCAAGTTTGCCGGAAACAGTTCAAGATGACTGTTCAGGAAATGCATCTTAATGCTCATGTTGCAACCTAACACATGGAAACTTTCCATCAAAGATTCAACGAGCTTTTTATAGTCCTCTGATTTCCTGTTTCCAAGAAAGTTCCTTACAACAGAAACGAATGCTCCCCATGCATTTCTCTCAACATCAGTCATGGATTGAGTGAAGGCTTGGTCTTTAATCAGCGTCCTAATTTGAGGGCCGTCGAAAATACCTGCTTTGAGTTTTTCTTGCGTTAAACCAGGGAACACTTCACACAGATACTTAAAACAGTCACTGTCAGTATCGAGCGCCTTGACAAACTGTTTCATAAGGCCCAGCTTGATGTGAAGGGGCGGGAAAACAATTTTTTCCCGTTCCACTAGGGGTTCATAAATGATGTTCTTTTTCCCAACATTGAGGCTTTCCCTAACTGGCCATTCCTTCTGAATCCAGTGTCTGTCTTTGGCTCTGCTGTCCCAGAGGCAGATAAAGCAAGGAAATTTTGTATACCCACCTTGCTGTCCTAGCAAAAAATTGACCATTTTTAGATCAACACAGATGATCCATTTGTGTTCTTCATATTTGAGTAGCTCCAAAACCGTTTTGATGTGTTCATATTTTTCTTTCAGGTGTACTGAGTGTCCTATGGGTATTGCGCCAAAGATGTTGCCTATATGTAATAAAACACACTTCAGACTCCGCTTAGAGCTATCTATAAAGAGGCGCCACTCTTTCGGATCATAACCTGGAGCTCCCATCGCGGTGACTAATCCAGAAATATCACAACAGTAGACGAAGTCAAATTTAGAATCAAAGAACTGTAAGAGGTTCTTTTCTATGTTGCGAAAGAATGTTACCTTTGTGTCTATTTTCAGCAAGTTTTTATCTTTTAACCGTGAAGCCAACAATTCTGACAGCTTTTTAGACAGACCCAGATCTCGAACTAAGTCATTGAGTTCTGCTTGGCTAAATGTTTGCGGTTCTGTTGATATGCCTGCAAAATCTGAGTCACTATTTCTGTTAGTTGACTCCTCTGTGACCTCAGTGTCATATTCACTGTCAGATTCAACGGAAGCAAGTTGAGTGAAGATAGGCTTTGGAACATCATCTGAATGGGGCACAGGCCTGATTGCTGAATCTAGACCTGATCTGCACAAACGAATGCCATTTTCAGAATCTGTGACCTCAAATCTACCAGAATCAAGTGTCAGAACTCATGCAACCGAAAGTGTGTTCCCCAGTGTGAATCGATAATTATCGATTCACTCGGCCGTCACACCCGGGAATGGGACAACTGGCCGCCGCCATCTGGCCGCAGCCCAACTGGCCGCGGGAAACTCGCCGCGGCCGACTGGCCGCCGCGGACTGGGGGTAAACTGCAAACGCCTAATTTTGCGCTCTCAAAGCAGGTTAGGTTAGGTTAGGTTAAGTTAGGTTAGGTTAGGTTAGGTTAAGTTAGGTTAAGTTAGGTTAGGTTAGGTTAGGTTCCATATGGCGGCCAATCGGCCGCGGCGAGTTTCCCGCGGCCAGTTGGGCTGCGGCCAAATGGCGGCGGCCAGTTGTCCTAGACCCGTCACACCCTAATACTGAAGTGGGCCCGGCATCAGAAAACTTATTCTTTGTGATCGTGTTGGATAAACTAAGAACATCGGGATACTTTCTTTCGTAATAACAGCAGCAACAAAGTAGGAGCTGCTGAAAGAGCGTTTTAATGCCAAGAGAATTTTGAGAGCTAAAGGTTGACTGTAAATCCTCGGAAGACAGGTTATGGCGCACAACAAGATTAGGAGAGGATGGGGTCAGGATTATAGAAAGGAGAAATAGAGAGCTGATATGGATAGACAGCTTTACATGTTTGGAATCGGAGATGAAAGGGGAGTGAAGTTGAAAGGGGTAGTAAGGTACAATGTGAAGGTGGCATATATGAAATGAAAGGTAGTTCAGCGGACCGTGCCTGACCAAAGGATATCAAGTAAACTGAAGTTGAAGATACGTCAGACAACAATATAGTCCAAGAGCCCAGGCACTTTTAATCATGTGTCTGAGGCCAAAAGGTTTGAGGGTCGTTTCTGAATCAGAATTTTATGCCGAATCTGAAAATCCATTTCTTAATTGCCGCAGCTGCTGCGTTTTTGGAGAAAAACTGCGTTTTTTGTTGTTTTCGCACCTTATTTTGGGGAAAAGTATAAAACAACGATTTTACTTCGTGGAGTTATTAAATATCCATTTATACTAGCATGTATGGTATCAAAGTACAGATATTATCTTTTTGAACGCACATACATCAAAATAATACATGTAAGCTGGGTATCCATGGTAACGAGCTCTTTTGTGAAAAAAAACCAGTTCTTTAATCGGTGCAGTCAGTGATTTCTCATGAAGGATATATCGTCTATAATGTCACTGTGATACTGATCTTGTAAATTGGTTATAACCTCTGTATAACACTTATAGCAATACTTATTGCGAGTATGTGACTGCTATAGAATATTGACAGTAAAGTTTTCTCCACCCCCTGTCAGATTTTGCTGCCAAGACAAAAAATCTGGTTAAATGTCGTCCCATAGTTCCTGTCCTCAGGTTATGGTTACCTTAGGCAGAAGTGTACATAAAACTGAGTCCCAGTTTTATGCAGTATACCATAATTGTAACTTATGAATTTGGTGTACTAAATAAAGCGCCAACAAGGCATGTTCCTTAGACTCTCATGGCCTAATTGTTATAATGTAGGAAAACTTAGACAAACTGTTCTGTTATGTCTCCAAAACATATTCCAATAAAATTTGTAGTGTCACAAATTAGTCAGAGTCACTGTCTGACTCATCAGAGGAGGAACAGTACTCCGTTTCATCTTCCTCCTCATTAGCCATATCTGTACCCACGTTATCATCAATGTGGAGGCATACATCTTCTGGGACCTGTTGCCCTTCAAACCAGTTAATAACATAGCGACCGTTCTCTAGCAGCCATCCATTTTCTTCTGGAGCCCACTTGTACGATTCTGGGGTAATTGCGTTTTTCAACATTGATGCTACCAGATTTGCACGCTTCAATTTCTCCAAGAGCACAGATTTGCATGGAGGCAAATTACTAGGGTCGGTTCCTTTGATTTTATGCAAAGGCTGAGATTTTTGTTTTGGTGCAAAATGCTGATCAAATAGCATATGTCTGGCTGTATTCACTGATATTAGGTTGGGCTTCCCATACATGCTACAAACAAAGGCCTCCATGTCTGTTAACAGATCTGATGATATGTGAGCTGAATCTCCCAATTTGGCGAATGCTGCGATGAACCTTTGTTCCTTTTCCATTAAAGCCAAAGGGCGGACTTTACCTTTGCGTACAAAACTAGCTGTGTAGTCACATCCTGTGAAGGCATGGAGTCCTGACAGGGCACCACACAACTCTGCTCCAAGGCTGTGAGCTAACTGGGATACATCTATATATCGCCTGGTGTTGTTAGTACTTACACCAACGTCGAGCCATAGCTGTCCTGGTATGACATGGGCATGCGTAAGCAAAATTATAAGAACATCAGTGTCAGAGGACCGGATAATGATGTTACCACCTTTGTAGGACTCGCACATATGCTTAACATGCCAGATCAACCGAGTATCTGCCTCCTCGTGGTTGCAGACCAGGCTGGGGACCTCTTGCACGTGAATACTGTCATCCTTTACATCATATTGATAGGCTTTGTCATCCAGTCCTACAAATAGCGTGTAGCCTCGGATCTGCTCAATGTATGATGTTCTCTTCCATTCATTTACAAGGAAGTGTAGGAGGGCTGTTTTGAAATTCGCGGACTTGAGCGAGGCATTGAAATTCTTTGGGCGCTTCTGGTCAGGACCAGAGATAATGAAGTTGGTATGTGTAGCATCAGATCCACGGATACCATGCTCGATATCTTTGATGGATGGGCTTTTGTATGAATCACATACAAAGTCTACCCTTTTGGCAAATCCCAACAACCGTGTCAGAACAAGTTTGGCAATTTCACCAAATGTGGCTGGTACATTGACTAGAGTTCGTATGAGAAACATTGCATCAATGGCACATGCATCCCGACTCACTGGTTTGCTACTTTTCACTCTTTCTTCCAACTTATGCATCAGTTTTGACTTGTCCGTTTTGTTAACAGACCCATCCACCTGTGCTATGGTCAATGGCACTGGTGTAAGGGGATATCTAAAGACCAAAGCCAAATCCACGTTGTTGCTCGCTGCTAGGTAAAGCAGTCTTCCAAATAAATCACGTGTCCCCTGCAATTCTTTAATCTTTCTGTCCTTAACGGTGAGCTTAACTCGTATAGCATCTGATGAGAAATTCTTCAAT